TGAATGTCTTTACATGCAACAAATGACATAATTTGAATTTACGCTCTGTGCACCAGTTTTTTTAATTCAACCATTATTTAAACAGATAAATCACATGGAGCCTCGAAGACTCATTTACAAGTGAGACCTGTTTGGACAGACAAAAACAGTGGTTAACTGGACACATGTAGGAGTTGGAGGCGAAAAAAAATTCCTATCAGACTTTTTTTTCTTGCCTGAGAAAAAAGAAAATCTCTAATATTATAAAAACACCTCACACAAACAAGCACATAGTAACATAGACAATCTGCAGACGGAGGAGACGAGAGCGGTCAGCAATGTTCATAGATGCTCTCAAGGTCACTGTAAGAGTTCTGATTAGGATGAAATAATCAGTCAATGTCCTCCGGTGAGATCCATAAACATTCTCGAGGGATGTCAAGGAATTGCAAGAATTACGTCTATGAGAATCCAAGAGTCCTGAAATGATGACACAAGTTTATTCAGCTGGTTTCATCTGGTTATCAGTTGGAAATTCCTCAGGGAGGGGGTGGTGAGCATCAGATCACATGTTCTCCAGGCAAATTCAGATAATATGGCCTTCAAGGCCAGCCAAGGGAGCCAAATTCAGATAAACACACAGTTGTTTTGGGGGCAGGCAGAACTTAATTGCATCTACCTTGAGTCTGTGTTGGTTGCCTCAGTTCCGAAACGTCCAAAATACATGGCCACACTGATGGAACGTGACTGAGTAAAATCCCCAAGATCTGATCCATTCAGCCTTTGAGTCCGGGTACTCGAGACATGAACCAAGCCATCATAAAGGCAAGCAGAGTGATCGGGTTCAAATTTGCTGTCAACGACTTCCTTGATTGTAGAAAAAACCAGCAACCATCCCAATCCAAAAAGCAGGAACCAGTTATCGTGAATCCAATTAAATATGTGTCCTTAAAATCCACAGATGGCAGCAGAGATAGACACATCATCAAGTCTTCCAGTCGATGAGATATCCAGCTGCGTGCGTGCCAACAGGGCAAATCGGCTCGCCTAAAGCCTGTCTTCTCTTTCAAGTAATGGTGTAAATTGAGTTGAGGGACCAACTGATCAAAACAAGTCCATAATTATGGTTTGGAGGATTTGCAAGAGAGGCTCAGAAGCAGTTTCACAAACAGACAGAGCGCAAAGCAGAGAGGGAGGGGGAGAAGCATCCGATCTCGGCGAGAGCAAGTGGTGAAGTGATGGATCTGGTGTGTCAGATGGTCTCATTAAAACACTTGGAGAGTATTGGGAGCATCGTGGGGAAAAATATAAAACAGAAATGAGGAAAAGGTGCAACTAATAGTTACTGTGAGTGATATTCAATATTATTGTACATTTTCCAAATGTATTGTAGCCTGAAAATTAACTGATTTTTGCTCTTTACATGAAGCAAACACTTTGGGGTATAAAGTAATGTTCTGATTCTGTTTCTTTGTATACATTTTTGATACTCTAACCACATGGTCCTTTTCATTGAAGCTGGGGGGCCCCACAGGGAAAACTGCTCCCCAGCCCACATATGTGACACCCCTCCATGGTAACAGGTCTGTGTCAGACTCCAGACCAGATAAATGACAGCCTGAGGACAAAAAAGTCTCCACACTCAGATCTATGGGATGGTGACTGACAGAGAGAAAGTGGAGATATTTTACAGATGGATAAGCTGGGCGAGGCAGCTCTGCCACCTTGCAGTGCGAAGGTTGCCAGAGCGAATCTCATTTGGGGGTTTCTGGGTGGAGTTTGCATGTTCTTTCTGTGCATGTGTGGGTTTTCTCCGGGTACTCCAGTTTCCTCCCACAGGCCAAAAACATGCACGTTAGACTGATGGGAAACTCTAAATTGTTCATAGGTGCGTGAGAGTGAATAGTTGTTTATCTCGTTTGTCTCTGTGATGGACTGGAGACATGTCCAGGGTGTCCCCCGCCTCTCGTCCAATGACTGCTGGATATGGGCACCAGTGATCCCCGTGACCCAAAAAGGAAGAAGCTGGTAAAGATAATGGATGGGATAGTTGAGAGCAGCTCCACAGCTTGTTTCTTATCCCTCAAAGTTCTTTTTTTGGACACAGTGTAGACCTGCAGGCCCGACTGGGACGTCACAGCTAGGCCTGTCACGATAACAAATTTTGCTGGGTGATTATCTCAGAAATTATTGCGATAGACGATATTATTGTTTGAAATTTGACAATAATTAGTAATTATTGCCAAATTTAAGAAGAAATGTTGGTTATTTGTTTTGTGTGTAGAACCTTTTGTTGACCACTGGATGGCAGTATAAGCCTGTTTGAACCGCAGGATGGATAGTAAGGGAGCGAGCAGCATGTCTCTAAGAAAAATGGGAGGGAGGCTCCTTGACATGGGCTGTCTCTCCTTTATGTTTTTCTCAAAATGGCAGACGCTCAGTGTGGTTTGAGCTCTTTAGCATAACATTTGTCACACAAAGCGTTTAATTAAAAAAAACAACAACAGTAAACAAGTTCTCCGCTTCTTTTTGCAGAGAAAAACTTTTTACATGAAGGCACGGGTTTCAACCGTGAATTTTGGGGCTTCGACAAGACGAAGGTGAAAGTGAACCACAATACAAACTCTGAGCACTGACTGAAAGTTAAGTTCATCTTTAAAACTTTGATTTAAACTTTCAGAAAGTAATCATTGGCGGTACATTTACAACTAAAAAAACTGTTCAATCAGTCCAATTCAAGATGGCCAACAGATCTTAGCTAACACAAATGGCTATAACTCAGTTTGACGGTTATCGAGAGAAAATTTGGCACAATACTAAAATGGCTAAACACTCAGGTTTACAGATACTGAGGTGAAGTTTAGTCTGGTGGTGAAAGGTGAAATATATTCAGTTTGACCAAAATGGTTACAACTCAGTTCCTTCTCAGCTCAAGATGATCTTTGTTTTAAACTGGCATGAAAGTTTTTTACGGATTGCTAATTTATCACAAAAGCAAAGATCTGTTTGGTAGCAAATAAAGTGCTTCTCTAAACTTCATATCTAAATCTAATTTATTTGACTTTTAAAAACCAAGTTCACTCAAAAGGTTCCCAATAAACTAGCTGAAGGTTAAAAGACGAAAACTTTATTTATTTTCAAAGACAAGAACTGTGAAATAACAAATCTTCATTTAAAATCCACGTTTTTCTCAAGTTTGGATTCAAGCGCAGCCTGTAATTGAGAAAGGAAGAAAAAAAATTAGAATTATATTTAAAAAAAAAAAATCTAGTCAATTATTCAATTAAATATCAGGAGACTCACAAGTTCTCTTTTTGCTTCTTCTATTTTCACTTGTGCTAGAGACGGGCTCTGTGATGGGTCAGAGAGGAAGACATTTTACAGCGCAACAAAATTCAGGTCAACAACAAATAATAAGACAAAACGAGAAATGTGGAGACTTTTTATATTTTTGAGGTCATGAAAACTGAACAAAATACAAAACCGTCTTACAGGACTTAGATCCATGTAAGGCTCCAGCTTCTTTTTCAGGGGAATTAATTCGTTTTTCACAGCATCGACTTCCTGCAAAAAAAAAAAAAAAAAAAAAGACATATGTCAAACCCAGAGAGCAGACGATGTGAGGTTTTTACATCATGGCGGTGACCGCTATATAAAAAGCTGTAAAACCTGAGAGAGCTGCACAACAGCCTGATGGGTAATAGACTTGTCCATCTTCCTGGATAAGAGTTGAGCCTGTAAAATTGACAAAACAGAATAAAAACAACCAAGGAAGTGACATTTAGACACGCTGGTTCAAACATACCAATAATTGGGTTTAATAGCAAAAAAACTGGTAAGATAATTTATCTGTGAGCCAAGTATGATTTGTACACTGTATAGACAAACACGCCTGAAAAGAGCCCGTATAAGTTTAGAAAAAAACTGATCAAAAACACGTCAGTAGATTTTACATGATTTTTTTCTTAACATATAACATATACTGGTAATTAACTAGATAAATTGCATATCCTGTGAAAATGCAGTGTGAATGCTTATTGCTCAAGAACTTGCTGAAAAATAGCTGAAATTAGCTAAAACGTGGTGAAATGGAAGAACAAGCCTAAATTGGCAGAAGAAAGCAAAAAGAACACATTTGCTGAATTTGGTTTAAATAAGCAGAAATAAGCACAAAAATTAGGAAATCAGCTGAAATTAGCACTAAAAAAATAGCTGAAAAGTAGCTGAAAATGTAGGAAGAAGCTTAAATTCACAGAAGCAAGTGGAAAGAACACAGTTGTGCTCAATTAGGCTTAAAGAAGCAGCAATGAGCACTAAAAAGTGGAAATTATCTGAAAAAGGCAGAAATTTGCACACACAAAAAAAAGTCAAATAGTAGCTAAAAAAGCCGAAAGAAGCTTAAATTATCAGAAGGAAGTGGAGGGAGCACATTTTTGCTGAATTAGGCTGAAAAAAGTTTAAAAGAGTGCCAAACATGTGGGTTTAGTTGAAAATGTTGAAATTAGCATCAAACAGCTAAAGAGTAGCTGAAATACCAGAAAAAAGCTGAAACTTACAGAAACAAGCTGAAAAGAGCATAAGCTGCTGAAATTAGCAGAAAGAAGTTAGAAGAAGCACAAAAATGTTGTAGTTAGCAGAAGAAGGTAAAAGGAGCACAAAACAGCTGAAATAACAGCTAAAAGTAGCTGAAAAAAGTTACAATTTGCACAAGAAGGCTGAAAGAAGCTGAAGCAGAACAAAATGTGAAAGGAGCAGTAAAAGGTTGTAAACAGATCTAAAGATCTGAAGGATGCAAAATGAGCTCAGTTCATTTTCTATGAGAAAAAAAAATGGCAGAAAAGGGTAAATATTTCAAAAAGCTCAAGTTGCACCTATATATCAGGTCATAACAGGATTGTCCTGAAAGAGCTGAATGTTTTGATGTATGATTTGTTGAAATATACAACAAATGTAAATGTATAAGAACACCTTTACTGTCTAAAAGCACAAGTGATGAAACAACAAACAGCTGCGATCCAGACACCCAGACATGTTAAATAAAACTTGATGAGGAAAATGAGACACTGACTATGAGAGTGTACCGACTCAATTCAAACACTAACCACTAATCTTCTTTTTATCGCTCTCTGGCTGTGATTTTTATGTAATACGGAGTTAAGTTATGGATTTTTCTCTACCAATTAATAAGAATTATTCAAAGACTCCAACACAGAAACAGTCTCAATCAACAACAGTTTTTTCTTACAAAAATATCAGGATTTATTTAGCTACGTATATTTAGGCTCCAAGTACAGCTCCATTTCACTTGTTTTGGATTAGGATTCCCCGTGACCCAAAATGGAAAAAGCGGGTAAAAAATAATGGCTGGATTAAGATTCAGAAACTGTGATTTCTGCAGTCACATCTTTAACATCATCCGTTACAAAAACAGATCAAACAGCACAACGTACCTCTGACCTCTCTCGACTGTTACTGAGCTCTCTGGCTTTTGTCGTCACAAAATCTATGTTGAGCATCCTCTCCTCTGCTTTGGCACGCTCCACCACTTGAGACTCGGTTATTTTCTCGATATCTCTGACAATAAAGAACACTTGATACGTGTGAACCAGCAAAATGTCTGTTTTTATCATTATAAATGACGACACATGGAGATACAGCAAAAGCTGACAGCTACATTCTTACTCTTGTATAGTTCCCCGCAGCACCAGAGTTGCACCAAGCTGCTTTCTAAGAGCCCTTAGTTCTCTCTCAAGTTGTCTGTGTAACTTTTCAGCTTCCAGATGTTCACTGGTGAGGTTGTTGACTGCTGGCATAAAACTGGAGGAAAACAAATGCATGAAATCAGTAAATCAGACAAACACAGAAAAGAGTAGAACAATGGTAGTGTACCTTCCCAGTGATGTGTCTCTCACTCCAAGCACCATAGCATTGTCCACCAAAGCAGACACATAGTCTGCAGCCAGTTTGGACAAACTGGCTGAGGACAGGCCGACTCCTTGGAGAAGAACCTCCTGAAGATGAGCAGCTAGGTACAAAAATTACATCTTATTTTATTTGAAATTCTGTCAACACTGTGTGGTGCAAACTGATGACAACATACGAGTCAGAATTGAGAAGAAGATTGTGGATTGTTACAATTTTTGTTCTTACAAAAAAAGGAAAAGTTACGAGACAAAACCACTGTTGTGTAACAACAGATTATTTAACAACAACAACAAAAATATGAGCCTTTAGGGACTTTATTATTAGCAGTCTGTGACAGACACTTTTTAGTTATGTGTCTAAATACTGTATAACAAAAATAACAATTTGACAAACATAAAAACACATCATATTTAATAACAACAAGGTGATTCCCAAATAGTTATTAGTCATTTTTAACTGGACGTATAGTCAACTGAAGGAGGACGAATCTTTCAGGTCCTGGATTAAGTGTTAGCTGGATATATTTTTTTCGTTTTATTCTTGAAAACCTGAATTTCATAAACGGTACAATTCATCTGCTGTACGTGTTTTTCCTTTCCACTGTTGCCTTTGTGCTTGCTCAGGATGGGGAGGCTGTGACGAAGTGAAGACTCAAAGCAATCTGCTGGCCCCTCAGATAAATAATGTTATTTACTTTTTATGTATATGAATGTTTCTGTGCAGTGCCCTGAGATGACTTGTGTTACTTGGCGCTATAGAAATAAAATGAACTGAACTATTTTTATTTTTTTATTTTACCTGACTGCATCCTCATTTGCTTAAGCACATGCTGCGCAATGTTCTGGACAGAAAACAAGTCAAATTTAAAAGAAAAAGAGAATTATTGATCAAGATCCCTTTAACAATAACAAATAGCCCTAAAGGACAAATATAAATAAACTAATGCATTGTAGGCAAGTTTAGATCTTTACAGATCTCTGCTTGTATTTTTGATTGTTTGCATCTAGAATCAAGCATAGGAATGCTTATAAAATTCAGGTTATTATAATTATCCATCACTTGGAGCAGGAGTCCTGTTGAAGCCACAGGTGTGCATTATTTACTCTACTTTCATGTCTCCTCTGCTGCCAGTTCGTCACTCACCATCAGCCTGATGCTCTGATGTTTTCTGTTTCAAGTCTTCAATGAGGTGAGCGGTGTCACTGCAGCGGGCTTCACTGGACTGTGCCAGCTGATACAGTATGTCTATTGTCCTTGTATTCACCTCAAACTGTGGCACTGGCTGGTCTCCATACACTGCACTCAGCCAGCTGTTTACCTGTGGGTAAATATGACAATAATGTGCCATCAAATAACCGCTGCCTGATGCGTTCTTTTATATTCACGCAACACTGAAACTTACCTTTTTAATTTTTTCAGACATTGTCACACACACACACACACACACAAAAAGACAAACAGTAGAAACAGGACCGGTCCAAAATGTTTTGGATAAACTCGTACAGTAAACATTAACCGTCTTCGCGCGCCCCCTTAAATGATCGTCACCACTTCCGGATTGTGAGCCAATCAAAAGACAGAGAAACTAAACGACTTGTGGGATGGCGCGAGAAGCCTGGGAATACATTTTTTGTTAGTTTTTAATAAATAAATAAAAACGCATAAAACTGGTTCTAATATTATATATAATAATAAACTACGCAGATAATTGATTAAAACACTTTCAAAAAAGTAAAAAGCTGATTGGTTCACGTTTCCGGTTGTTTACAAAGATAAAGACTCAGTTAGGATAGTTCCCTCCTAAGCAAGAACTAATCACTTGCTCTCACATCGTCGTCATCATCATAAAAACAATAATGATTATAATAATTATAATAATAAAGACATATAATACATATGATGATGTTTATAATGATTGATACTGATTATTCTATGAAGAACCAAAAACTACATGAACAATGTTTGGTACTAACACCATGACCATAATGATATAATGTATGAACTAACCTGCACTTAAGTTCAAGCTGTGTTTATTTCTTATATGCAAGTTTAGCACAGGGCTAACAGTACAATGAAATGCTTAGGATGAGAGGAACCGATTTGACTCGCTAAAAAAAATTAAAAAAAAAATAAAAAAATCTAGGAACAAACCACCAAGAAAATACAAAAAGCATGCAATAAGGGTACACAAAAAAAGTGACAAAGTAATTATAATATTTACAATGTCCTAAAGAGAGATACTGAGCAACAACATGGTAGAATATAATGGTGCAGCAGGATGAATTTGAATTAATAAATATTTCAAGGTAGTAATATAAGCTAAAATGCATATGACACACAAATGCATATGTGTGTGTATGTGCGTGTATATATACTGCACATAATCAACATCTGATTCTGAATCTGATATACCACACAGGTTGTGTGACAGTTTATTGCACAGGCAGTGACACTGAGGTTGAATTATTAGTTATTTCCAGTTGTACAGTGTTATTTATCGAGAGTTCAGTAATCTGATAACTTGTGGGTAATATCTGTCCTTTAGTCTTTTTGTATGCGATGGCAGACTCCTGTATTGTCTGCCTGAGGGTAGTAGACGGAAGAGTCCTTGTGCTGGGTGGGTGTGGTCCTTAATGATGCTGTGTGCTTTACGCAGACATTGGCTGTGGTAGATGTCCTGGATGGTGTGGAGACTGCTACCAGTGATGTTCTCTGCTGTTTGCACCACCCTCTGTAGAGCTTTCTGGCTTTATTTGTCTTTATATTCTGGTTTTATGTGTTTCTTTTTAGATTGGTATAAAATCATCAGAATGCTGGTGAAGATTCTCAGTCATCCAGGACATGATGAATTCAAAAAACGTTCAATACAAAAACAGCTGGACTTTATTTGCATCTGAGAATCTGAGATGACTGAACGTCTTCTGTTACAAATAAAGTCCAGTTGTTTTTGTATTGAACGTTTTTTGAAAATCATACAGACTACCATTTTGAAAACAATGGGTTGCTGTAAACATAAGTAGAAAAAAAGTGCATATACAGTACGTACTACCTAAAGTTGATTTGCATTTTCCAGCTGTGTATTTTTTCCTCTTGTTAAAAAAAACTAAACAAAAACAAAAAATCATTTTTTTTGAGTTGTAAAAAAACAAGGTCTGACATTTCTGTATTTTGATGATAATGATGTGGAAAACATTTATGAAAGTAAAGTTGTAAAGGTTTATGCTTTTCTTTCAATTTTTATTGTCACTGTGGTCATCATATCTTTTAAGTTTGACTGCATTCTTCTCTTATCTTATTTTGTATTTGACTGGTTATTTCAATCTGCCTTTGTTTGCAGTACTTTTATTTATATATATATATATATATATATATATATATATATTTGTGTGTGTAACAACTTGTAAAAAAGCGAAAATAAAAACTTGAGACGAAAGCGGAAGTACTCGAAAGTGTTCATCTTGTGTCAACCGGATATTTCAACCACCCGCACAAGTTTGAAAACACAACTCCTTGTTTCGACGGAAACCTTTGAGAAAAGCACAAATGGCTACGAAAGAGAAGTCGACCGGGCTTCGCCAAAAGTTTATAAACAAAACGTTTAATTCATCCAGCGTCGACTCCACCGCGGTTGAAGAAAAACTGTTCAGCGGCGGAGTCGACGAAGAAGAGGACGGACCCGTGGTGTTCTTCTGCGTGAAGTGCAGGTTACCTGTGGGGGATTCTCTGTCCTGGGACGGAGTTGAAGATGGACAGAACCAAATAAGACTAAAGCGTAAGTGTGGGTTTTAGATTATTACATTTAGCTGCCACACTGACTAAATCAGTTATTTAACATTATAAACATGAAGCTACATCACATTTCAAATTATGGCTCTCTCTAGTTATGCTATTGTCAACAATTTAAAACATTTAAGATTAGATGCAAATGTCCTCTATCAGAGACTGAGACCTCATAGTCCAAGAAAGCCAACTTGCCATTTTTTTTACATCTTCTCGTGTGAACTTGATGTATTTATCCACAGAGTGGACATTTGCAAACCGAGGTGTACCGCAAACCCACCCACACAGACCAGTATTTGCAGTTTGACTCCCATCACCCTTTGGAGCACAAGTTAGGAGTCATCAGGACTCTGTATCACAGAGCAGACAGCGTCCCCACTAGCTCAGGAGCCAGGCAGAAGGAGAAATCCCACACAAGACAGGCTCTAGAGCAATGTGGATATCCTAACTGGGCCTTCCTGAAAGCAGAGAAGAAACCCAAACAGGACTCCAGTCAGCCAACAGGTGAAAAGGAGGAACCCAGACCCAGACCAGTGGTCATTCCATATGTTGAGGGGGTATCAGAGAAACTGAGACGTTTATTTTCTAAACATAACGTCCCAGTGGCTTTTAAACCCCAAAATACATTACGGCAAAGACTGGTTCATCCCAAAGATCCAGTCCCCCGGCACAAACAGAGTAATGTTGTGTATGCTGTTCAGTGTCAGGAGGGCTGTGATCAGTCTTACATCGGGGAAACTAAACAGCCACTGGCCAAAAGGATGGCCCAGCACAGAAGATCAACATCATCAGGCCAGGACTCTGCGGTCTACACTCATCTCCAGGCCAGCGGTCACTCTTTCAGGGATGAAGATGTTCACATCCTGGACAGAGAGGAACGATGGTTTGAGAGAAGAGTAAAGGAGGCCATCTTTGTGAAAAGAAATCGTCCATCATTAAACAGGGGTGGAGGCCTCCGGGTTCAACTGTTCCCCTCTTACAATGCTGTGATTGCTAGTATCACTCAGCCCTCTGTGAACAGTAAACAGCCATCAGTGTGCTAATGATCCATTGTTACGCTGATGGTCCTTCTTGAGCATGTGATCAGCTGGTTTTGGTTGTCAGCAGCAAACTGGTTGATCCACTCTGTGAAGGTGCTATTTAAGAGACTGAGCTGAAAACAGCACCTCAGACTGAGGAAGTCTCTTGGATGAGAGACGAAACGTTTCTAGATTTTTTTGCTTTGTTTTGTTTTTTGTTTTTTTGAATGTCCAGAGGACCAGATTGAACTTTTTTTGATTTTTCTACCTGGATTATTGAGCATGCATCAGGATATTGTAAGCTTTTATATATTTCTTGTTATTTTGATGATTATGTCTTGCAGATAATGAAAACCCCAAACTCAGGATATTAGAATATTGTGATAAAGTTCCACAGTGCCCTGAGATGACTTCCGTTGTGACTCGGTGCTATATAAATAAACTGAATTGAGTTATTGGAAGCTCATGCTCACTATGCACAGATGAATCCTAGACATGAGATACAAATGTCTCATTCCTCAAGTCGAGTCGCTCCTGAACCAGAAACATCAGAAGTGTCTTACCTGCTGAGGACTTCAGAAACCATGGGCCCAGATCATCACTGACTGTGGAAACTTCACTCTGGACTTCAAGCAACATGGATTCTGTTCCTCTCCACTCTTCCTCTAGAATCTGGGACCTTGATTTCTAGATGACATGAAAATGTACTTTCATCTGAAAAGAGGACACTGGACCACCGAGCAACAGTCCAGTTCTTTTTTCCTCTCAGCAGGTAAGACGCTTCTGATGTTTTTGGTTCAGGAGTGGCTGGACTTCAGGGATGAGACATTTGTAGCTCACGTCTAGGATTCGTCTGCTCATCGTGAGCATGAGTTGAGTGTTCATTACCTGAAAGACATAATCAACATTACAAGAAATGAAGGCTTGAAATATTTCACTCTGTATGTAATGAACGAATCTATATACTGTAAGAGTTTCACTTTCACAATATTCTATTTTGTTAGCTGCACCTGCACTACAAAACTGGTATCAGAGCACCAAGCGCACCTCAGTCATCCCATTTCAGTTGCAATACTTTTGTATATTAATATTGACCCCAGTTTAAACTGATCTGTAACGATAACAGTTTACGTATTTCTGATGTTTTTGTCCCAGGGGTGACTGACAATGTCCTGATTGGAAAAGAAACTCGTCAGCTTGAAATGAGCAAACAGTCTCATTGGTAAGGAGGATTCCAGTAACACTGCCAACACAAGAGTAAAAGTCTTCTATTCATCCAGCTTTAAAAGTTACACATTTAAACCCAATCAACATAAATATCTACAGAGAATTTTTTAAAGAAGTGCATTATATCTTGCGTACTTGACCCTGTGCGAGTACAATGGTGTTAATAGACAGTGACCGTGGAATATTTCAAGAACAGCATGTAATTGTTATTAGCTACAAAATATTCCAACGTTGCTCATGACAAACTTCAGCTGAGCTTACTGGTGTTGTGCTGTGTGAAGTGTGTTTTCTATTTGTTATAGAATTTGTTTAATTTATTCATTTTTTTCCGTCCGCAGTTTGATTGTGGATCTTATCTGTCGAGGCTGCCGCTCCGTGCTCGGCATGATTTACACGTCTACTCCAAGGAACATGGACAACATGAGGTTTACTTTCTGCATGAGCGTAGCCAGTATCGACAGGTAAATGTTTATTTTTTATTTTTTATGACCTAACGAGTTCATATCTGTACGTGTAGAAGTGTGAGAGATCTGATCAGTTTTACTGGAACCTGTGATGCAGGTGTGAATTATTTCATTGTACCATTTGTTGAATTGTAAAATCAAAACGTGCAGGTGTGTGTCATCCTAGAGGACGACAGGTAGATGTTTTTTTTGTTTTCTCGCAAGCCTAAAAACCATTACAGTAGTCCCTCGTTTATTGGGGGGGGTTATGTTCCACATATCACTGCGATAAGTGAAAAACCACAAAGTAGGAACACTATTTGTTTTAGTATTTATATATATTTTAAGGCTTTATAAAGCTTTCCCACACTCTTACAATGTTCTACTCTTAAACCTCAGTAATTTTAACAACATACATATATGTACTAGGCAGTGCTGCAAAGTTTTACCCACCAGCTCTGCAGAACAGCAGCTCTGTTCCAGTCGGGCTCGTTTCCGGTTCGGCAGACATACCCTGCGGTGACAAAGCCCACCGCTCCGTCCACGTTTATGTGCACGTGTCGATTATTGAGCTTCAGGATTATTTGCAACTTTCCTGCCAGTTCTGTGATCTTAATAGATAGATGTTACTTCTAACTTTGCATTGCAAAACTTTCCCTCCATTTCAGAAGAAAGCTGCGGGCGGAAGCACTGTTAGATTCTGGGTACTGTAGTTCTTTTGACTGGTGTGACAGTGTAGGCTTATTGAAAGAAAAACTACAAAATAGCGACGCCTGCACAAAGTTTTTTTTTTTCCTGTTAACTTTTTATCCCATACCGTCCCAATCACGTGAGTAATATTAAAGTTGACAACCATGTGTCGTGCACAATCTTACGTTGAAAAACTGCGAAAGAGCGAGTCCGCGAAAGTCAAACCATGAAGTAGCGAAGGACTGCTGTGACATGGTTTCTTCTCCATTTTAATTTAATGATTGCTGTATAGTCTCACAGTTGCGTTAAAAAAACAAAAGAAAATCTGTTTTTGTAGAAATCTTTCCCTTTTTCACACATGATCCAAAAATATATTGGGAGTGGTGGCGCAGAGGTTAGAAGATGGGCTTGTGATCGGAAAGTCGCAGGTTCAACTCCCCGGACCGTCAACTTTGAAATGTGGGTGGAAAAGGTGAAACACCCACACCTGCCTCCACCCTCATTTGCCCCACTCTGGGACCATGAGCAACTCCATCATCTGCTTCCAAAATAACAGGTCGCTTAAAAAATGAGTTCTCGTGACTCAATGAGACGACCAATATAAATAAAGGGTAAATTAAAAAAAAAAAAAAAAATATGATCAACAACTTAAGAGAAATTAACGTTTTCATAAAAAAAGAAAAAGAGAGAGAGAACCGTGTGAAACATATAGCTTTCTGGTCAATAAAAAAAAACTAAATGCAAAGCGGTTGTAAATTGTAAGCACTTAGTTTAAATATATCGATCACAAAACGACAACGTGTATTTACAAAACATTAGAAAAATTTAGTTTTGTGTTGCAGGTTTAATTTAGTCATAACTGTTGAATGAATGTGACTGTGTGTGGTTATTTTTGTCTGTCAGCAAAATATCTCATGGATCTCTGGACAGATTTTAATGAATCTCTTGTAACGTAATCCTTAGATCGACATCTAAAGCGGATTACCTTCGGGAGTCCTCTTCATTCAAGATGGCAACCACAGCTAATCAACCTTACAAACACAAAACTGGCTCAATGGTCATTTTTACAGATAGTGAGTTTTAAGGTGGTGTGGTCGTAGCTGAGTGATCGTCACTTACTACAAGCACGTGTGCAACATTTTTATTCAAATGTTTACATGCAGGGCTGCAGGTGATATGCATATCTGCATGTGGCGAGTGGTGGCGCAGAGGCTAGAGAAGGTGGGCCTGTGATCGGAAGGTCACCGGTTTGACTCCCTAGACCGTCAACATCAAAATGTGGCCGGAAAGATGAAACACCCACACCTGCCTCCACCCTCATTTGTCCCAATCTGTGCCCTTGAGCAAGTTCCTTAATTCACCACCACCATCTGCTCCCAAACAGGTCTCTCTTGAAAATGAGTCCTCGTGACTCAATGAGGCTACTTGTATAAAAAAAAGGGTAAATAAAATAAAAATGCCTTTAAGGAAATCGCCTTTGAATTAAACTTTATTATGCTCTTAATGAAATGGATCTTTACATTTATTGGAAATAGTTTTACTGAAGCTTAACTAATTTTAGTAATATTGTTGATGTAAAAACCGTAGTAGATGTTAATAAATATATTTTTAAGTTCGATTGTATAAATTCACAATGCAGCGGTCATAGGATAAGATATAGAATCAAATCAGCAAAACCTGGACAAGCCACTATAGATTCAACAGAAATTATGTTGTTGGTTTTTTTTAAAGGAGATTTCATTTTTTACAAGTTAATTATTTCAGTTTTCTTGGTTCCGTATTATTTTTCAGCTATGAGCTGGGCTCTGCAAAGCAGATGTTGGCAGCAGATGTCCCCAAAGAGCAGCCAGTCACTCTGGAGTACAGGGGCGTCGTAGAGCAGCAGCTGACAGAGGTAAATCACTGCCGCTATGTTCCTTTGTCTGGCTTCTCTCAGGTGGTCTTGCCTGAAGGTAAAATGTTGTCAAACAGATAGAATTCTGTTTAAACCCAAATTAATATTTAAACATCCTAAACAGAGGTTTGTTTATCTTTATTTTTTCATCTGTATCTTGTATGTTGATGTAAAGTTAAGGTATTTAATAGTGTTCTTATTATTTTAAAGTCAGGATAAAGCAGCATTGTACGGGAGATGTGATGTACGAACTCGGTCAGTTTCAGCAGGAGTCATCGTGCTCTGCGTGGCGTTGTGTTGCTCAAAGAGCCTTCTCAATGCACTGGGTCAAGATGACATCAGCTTGGTTCTGGTAAATCCATCCCTCTGTGACGAGCAGACTTTTTCGTTTTAGTCAGACGTTACCTCATCCGTCCACCAACAATACCTCCCTCAAACTGTTTCTTTTTTTTTTTTTTTTTTAAGTTATTTTCAAAGATTCAAAAAAAAAAAACATTCATTCTTTTAGATCATCGCAAACCCATTACTTCTTATTGTCATTCGCATATCTTGCCTTTAAATTACTTTCCTACCATCTATTCATATTTGTTTTTATTTGATTTGATCTCTTTTCTACTCAAATTGTTTACTAGATTAGTGTAAGGATGTCTAAATAATCTTAATTGCTCTTTGTTTAGAATAAAAACAAGAAAAAGGCACAAATCGTCCAGCAGGTGGCGATAGTGTGCCAGCTCTCTAAAACCTCATGCAGGGGGGACAATGGACAAGGAGCACGTTGAGAAATCTTTGTTGGGGGGAACATGTTCTCAACATGAGCAGTCTTTGTTGCCCTAACTCAGTGCTGATCTGGAGTTTTGTTTTATTTGAACTATAATGAAAATGTTTGGTTGCAACTTGGAACAATCGCTTGTAATCTTTGTTTGAGGGTAAACTCTTTTTTTAATTATCGTTATCACGAAATATCTTTATTGCTGTTTCTCAATTTGTCTGGTATTTTGTTTGATGTGGCTTCTTTCGTTTGCATTTCCGCCACGTGAAAAATGACCCATTTTTTATTTTTAGATATTTGTCTATTAAAGTGGTAAATTAAAAACGGGTTCTGCTGCTCTAAAGACTGGAACACACACAAGAGATTGTTGAAGCAGCAGCTCACGTGTACCTTTAGGTCCTGAAGGAGACTAATTAAATGCTGTGCCAGCTTTCTGTCACTGACTTGACTTGTTGCCATTTTTATCATCTTTGTTTCATCTGAACAAACAAACTGAAAAGGCTGTAGAGCTCATCTCACACGGTAAGGTTGACATGTCCAGGAATCCTGCAAAACAATTTGTTGCTTGAATAAAAACATTCAGAGGAACACAGACTAGTTAAATGAGGGTTCTCCTGAAATCTAGCCAGTTGTTGACTTATTTACTGCCTGTATGGTTAATTATTCTAGCTAGGGCGACGTATAAATTGTTTTAATTTTACGAGTTATATAGTCATCCGTTAACCATCTTAAATGAGATTGCAGAGGTTTTGTTCAAGCGCTGGAATTAAAATCAGAATTTTTTTTATTGTTCTGTTTATAGTGAGTAATTTTGTAAATCATCAAACCTTCAAAAGATTATTCAGTTACTCAGAATAAAATCAAAAGCACCGTAACCTCTGAAAGTGGATTTTTTTTCTTATTAAACTCATATATGGAAGTACAGTAGACCCTCATTTATCATGGGGGATCCGTACCCTGAAGCCCCACGATAATTGAAAAACTGCCAAGTAGGAGTAGTAGTAGAAGTAGTACCATATTTTCCACCGTACACGTTGCACTGCCCTATAAGTTGCATGAGTCCAAATGTGTCTAAAAAAGTGGAAAAATCCATAAATATGTCGCTTAGCCATATACGTCGCATCTATTATGCGTCACCGCTGAGAACCCGGAAATGTGGGCCGGTGTTGTGCCAAAAAACGATTGGCTGCCAAATGGCATCCGCGGGAGCGTTCACGGAGGACTTTAACAAGCATTTAACAAGATTAACACTTAAAAACAATTATTTGTTTGCTCAAAATTATAGTAAAGGCGTGTCTCAGTCTAACTTGTGCTTAATAAAATGCACTTTGACGGCCAAATCAGCTGCATTTTCAAAAGCCGATACACGGAAACATGAACGCACAGAGGGCAACTCAGTCCATTTCTTCAAAATTTAACAAGATAACCACCTAAAAACATTTATTTGTTTGCTCGACTTTATAGTAAAGGTGTGTCTCAGGCAGTTGAACTTTTACTTAATAAATGCACTTTAATGGTCAAATCAGCTACATTTCGCCGGGGCAGCGCAGCGAAATGAAGCTGATTCGGTTTCTTCAGGCAGACGACGGTGGCAGTCTGTGGCAAGCCGACTGCGTCATTAATAGCCACTTTTACCTATTGCATGATACAACGGCATGCCTTACTACTCAACTGCCATCTAGTGGCTGAAAATGGTAGGGTTCAAAATTTTCAGTCAGAATGAATGTAAACGATCATATCTCAGACAAGAATTGGTTTATAAATATGGAAAAAAAATCCATCAATACGTCGCTTCGGCATATAAGTCACAGGACATGCAAATTTTGCAAAAACTGCAACATGTACCGCAAAAAATATGGTAAGTAGTAGTTTATTTTAATGTGTGTGTGTATGTATGTATGTATATATATATATATGTATGTATATATGTATGTATGTATATATATATATGTAT